TATATTTTCGTGGGGAGTTTTGGCTATTAATTCCGTCGTACCGATTTTGACCCCAACAGTCGCTCCTCTTCGACCGTTCAAGTTAGGTTGCTTCGCTTCGGGGAAGCCAAGAACTTTCGCCGTGGTGGAGAACTCATGAGCGTGGACATGCTTCTCCTGGATTCTAAGGTGGTTTTTTCGAACCTTTTTCTCTTTTGTTACATCGATCGAGTGCTGGAATTAAATTTAATTGTTGGTGTGTTTTTTGGTGCTCCATATCTATTTCACACTGCTCGGCTTCCATTTTTCTAAATAATGGGATGAAAATTATTTGATGAAAAGATCTTATCAAGTCCTTCGCTTTTGTTACATCGATTGTGTACTGAGATTATATTTTAGTGTTTGTGTTTTTTTTGGTGATCGATATATATTTCACACTGCTCGGCATCTAGATTTCTAATGAATGTTTTGAAAATTATTTGATGTGAAGATCTTATCAAGATCGGTTGAATGATTATATTTTCGAGGAAAGAGTTCTATCAAAACGACGCCAATTCAAGACGTTTAGCTGATACCTGTGAAATTGCCACTTGGTCTTCTTCAAATCTGGGTTCCATGCTTACTGAAAATTCAATCAGCAGTAGGAGAGTGTGGAGTCGAAGGATACGGAACATGAACCAGAAAGTTGCTTGAAAAAAATCATCTTTGCGATCTTCAGATATATCATCTCTCGACTCTTGACTACGTGGCGGAAAGTGAGTATCATATGTTTCTAGGCGAAGAAGTCACCATAATCAAAGGCTATAAAAGCATTATCCATCACTTAGCCTCTGTTCTTCCTCAAGGTGTTATCCAGTTGATTCGAACGGTCAAGAAGATGAGTGGCAGAGAGAAACCATGACCGTCCAGGGAAGCTCCATCTGTCAGATGGGTCTATTGTGTTTGCAGATCATGTTATCTTCACTTTCTCTTTAGGTGTGCATAAGACAGGATTGAGAGTAATGATGGAGGAGGACGGTTGCCTAATTTCAAATCAGATGCTATCAAGAGGTTCATTATTTTCTTTCCTCAATAAAAACATTCTTCTGATTTTTTCGTAACTTTCATATCTGTTGATCATTTTCTTTGTCATTTCTGCTACACTTCAATTACACGTACCTGGTCGGGGTTAGAGAACAGATGTAGCATATACAAATAGAGAAGGAACCTGATAGCCTGACTTCTTGAATCGCATTGGCTGTATTCTCGATTTATTATGTCCACGTCGTTTGTCTCAGTTCCACGGTGATTTCTTACTCTTTAATTTAAGATAGACCATGTTCGGTGGCTAATTGTTTAGTTGTTTTACTGGCTGTTTTCAATAGATAAAATGGCAATCATATGAATCTAAAGTGAAATAGGATTTTTCAAGATGGCTTATGTCTAATTAAATAATGCAGATTGTTGATGGCCTAAGGATAGAAGCACTGAAAAAGAACCAGAATTCTGTGCCAAGTCTTTTCAATGAGATCTAAACAGTTACATTTACATTTGTTGTTTACACATCTTCTGTGATTTACAAAATTCGGTGTTTGACGGTTTGTCCATTGCCTTTCACACTGATGGATTCATGCCCATAATCTCAAACAAGAAAGATATATACTTATAATCTAAGTGTTCGGTGGTTAATAATGTTTTATCTCCCTATTTGGTTGACTACTTGATTGCTCCGATTACGGATTTTCAAAGAGCTATCTATAGATTTTTGATGTAATGAAATATTTTTCTCTGTTACCCTATTCCAAATTTCCATTATCTTCGTTATTTGAGGATCCACTTCTAACATCTCCATACACTTTTGACAGACTTCTTTATAATTGTAACTTGACTTATAAGTAATTTTGGTTTGGCTCCATTTTCTAAAATTTTGGTTTGCTAATTCTGCATTAAAATTACTAAGCTAATACACAAATTAACCTTGAACATTTTTTACTAACTAACAAGTCTCAGCGCTACTATCATTGTTTTTGTCGGTTACTTTTCTTTATTCCTCAAGTTAAGTTTGCAAAACTATCTGCTCTTTCCAAAACTGTGAAACAAAAGTCTAAACAAAGGCTACATGTAGTTTTCAGAACAATGGTAGAACAATAACATTATTAATTATTCATAATAATTTTGTGATGTGTTAACGTTGTAGTTTACCACATGTTTTTTTTTTGAATAAAGGTTTTCCACATGTTGAATTATAGTATTACAATATTTTAATTATGAAAAAATTAAACAATTTAACCAATTAAACACCATAACTAAAAATTAATTGATTTTTGTTTAAAGATTTCCATTAAAAAATAATAAATGGATACTAAATTTTTTGAAATTTGTAAAAGAAAAGCAATGAATACTTTAAAATAATATTATAACTCTTAGCTACTTATATATCTATAATAAATTATAATATTTATATATTAAAATTAACATATTAAATATATATAATCAAAATTAAAATATAAATGAAAATCCCGGGCGTAGCCCGGGCTTGCCCTAGTATAGATATATATATTCTAGCAAATCTGTTGAAAAATATGATAAGAGGATGTTAATTGTCAAAAATTAACATAAATATTTTAACTAATCTCATAATTAGTCATGAAATGTTATTATACATTAATATATATATATATATATATTCAGCTATATTTTATAAAATGAAAAGAAAAAAATAAATCCTATTTTATCTATTTTCTCATAATATCTATCATTTTAAAAAGAAAACCATTATATTGAACTGAATATGATAAAGTTTTTTGAAATTGATAAGTTAATATATTTATTCTAAAAATATAATATGTTGGTTAAAGGGGTTAACATTCGTAAACTATATAATTCATGTATAAAATTCAATTTATCTAAACTTTTTATATAGAGTAATTTATTATATAAAATGAATAAATATAAAAAAAAATTGCTAATCGAACATTTTGAATCACGAGTTACGATCATAATAAATATAAACAAAATAACTTTAAAATATGTTATTTTATACATAAGAAATTTGTTTAATAATCATACGCAAATTTAATAAGAAAAACATATATATGTGATGATTTGAGTTTATAGCATAAAAACAATATATATTTTGACCTGTAAAAAAAATATTTATATAATGAAAATACATACCTCCACGGTTGTGCGGGTTGAAATCTAGTTATATATTAAAAGATCAAAAATAAACACTCATGTGGATGTATGTAATATATAGTGTTTTCATGACTTTTGACATCTAATTTCATCTTATTTTAATCATTTCGATTGCATATTAGATGTATATATTGCATATGCACATGTATAATTGCACATAAAAGAATTAAATTGCACACTTGAGAAGTTTTGGGTAAAATTATGAAGTTATTCCTGTGGATTTAGAAGTATTAGGGCAAAAGTGAAAACAATTGAAAATTCAGGTACCAAGATTTTAAAATTGGAATATTCGCTGGATCTAGATAACACAACTGAAAGATTTGGGGTTTATTTGGAAGGATGTTTCTACAATATACAAAGTCTTTGATCGATTTGAAAATAATCAGAAATGCGAGGGACCTAATGTGCAAATACGGAGAATCCAGCCATTGGAATGAATCGAGCTTTATCTTTGCCGGATTTGGAGGTTGACGATGCTGATGGCCGTGAAGACAAAGACCACGACGGAGAAGAGAGAGAGAGACAGAGAATGGAAACGTCGTGGATTTCAGACGCGTTATGCAGCAAGTAGCAGAGATGGAGAATGGAGGCCATGGAGGAAGAAGAGCCATGGTAAAAAAAAAAAAATTCATAAAAAAAAAAAAGAATCAACTATCCTGCAAAACGATCAGAGGAGAAGACTTTATAACACCCAATCAAAACCCACAAATTCAAGCTATTGATTCCTCCATGAAGAATAAAAAAACACAAGAAAAAGGGAACCCTAATTGAAAGTAGATCAAAGAAGACGACTTTGTAAGGTCAACTTATGAAATAGATCTAACCAGCTGAAGCAACTTCCAGAAAACCAAGGTTTTAGGGTTTTGAAGCTAAAGGTTGTGACTTCAGATGCTATGCAGCAAGGATGCAAAGATGGAGATTGGAGGCCATGGAAGAAAGAAGCCACGGTAAAAAAAATACTCTAGTTTAGTAATTAAATAAAACGATTTTGATTTAGCCAATGGCAAAACATTGTAATTATTTAGGAAAAGTGTGGGTTAAATACAAAATGTATTTCTCCTTTAATAGTTTAAATTATCTAATTTTTCCATGTAGGACTTGGATTGAAATTTTACATTTTTCCTTTCAAACTAATTATCATAGGAAAAAAATTTCTCAGCTACACCATGTTTACTTTAATATGGTGAAAACCATCTAGAATATAGAAATGTGTCGAAAGCTTCACGATGTTTATGTTAATACATATCACATATACGAAAGTAAATGATTACATGTTGACAACGTCACAATCAAGTTTAATTGGTTTTAAGTTAAGTTAATGGGTCCATCTGTAATTTTGGAAAATCAAATTAAAGCCAAAAACTTGACCCGGTATTAGTAATAACCCACTCACCCTAAGCAATTACACGACAGAAAATGAAACTATTTTACAAAATCAATATCCCTAAAGATTCGATTTTTATTTACCCAAATTGATAGAAAAATTCTCAGGAGCATAACACATGATAGAATGAACAACTTTCTCTTGTTAAACCTCTCTTCACAAATTTGATATCTTCCTCTCTAACCCTACGTTTGCTAAGAACAATGTATCACATGCTCGATTCTCCCCACCTTAATCAAGCAAGGGAAGAAACGCAAGCCTTTTTTGTCTCACGTCAGATATGTGAAGCTAAGAGCAGGTCCAATGGAGGTCCAAGAGAGGTCCTTGGCGCGGAGACATATGCTTTTGGGCATTTTTTAATAATAAAGCCCATGATCCACGGAAGGATTGATCCGTAAACAAGGATCCAAAGGACCCACTCCTTAAACACGTGGCGGTGTTTGGTAGGCTCGCGTGTGAGATGAGTTTTGGGGGTTGGCTCGAAATTATTCATTCTTTCTCTCGAGTCAAAAAAAAAATCCCATTTCTCTCTCTCGCGACATCGAAGGCGATTCGCCGATTCGCCGATTTCGAAACCGTGAAGGTAAATCGGAGGTTTCAACCTCGATTTTTTTGCATCTCGAGTTGATGCATGTATATTTAGTGTGTTTTGGGGTTATATCGGTGGGTTATACTCGATTGAAAGTATAAAATCGATTAGGTTTTTTTTTCAGATTTAGGGTTTTCGTCTATGGTTGATATGTTCTGTCTCTCGCTTCGAATATTTGTTGTTTTAGTGTTCTATTTTCGGATTTTAAAAGATTTAGGGTTTGTAATCGATTTGGGAATTTTTCCAGATTTAGGGTTTTCGTCTATGGTTGATATGTTCTGTCTCTCGCTTTGATTATTGGTTGTTTTAGTGTTCTATCTTCGGATTTTAAAAGACTTTGGGTTTGTAATCGATTTGGGAATTTTTTTCAAATTAGGGATTTCGTCTACGATTGATATTCTAATCGTCGTGAGTCGTTTATTCCTTGTTTTATGTCTCCATTGTGCAATTTAATACGTATAGGTTTAAATAAGGTTGTAATAGCTAATATCATTAGGTGTTTTTTCTTGCAGGTCCATAACATGGAGGAAGAACTTCGAGATCAGAAAGCACACATGGACTACTACAACATGCTCCACTTGGTTTCAGAAGCACAATTTGGGATTCCAAAGCTGTGCCCATGTGGAGCAATTACGAAGGAGACCGTTGAAGAAGAAGACACATACGATTACTTCCCGGGCAAGAGATATTTCGTCTGCACACAGTTCACGGTATGTATTGAATTTCATATAATCTTTCTTGTTTTTGGTCTTGTTTTCAATTTCATATAAATTTTTTGTGTTTTTGGCAGAACGACGGTTTACATTTCAGACAACCATGGGTGAAGGATATTCAAGAAGAAGTTGAGAGGCTCAAAGAACGATATCACGCACAGGAGAAGGTTCTGCGAGAGTGCCAGGCACTTAAGGTGAGTGATGAGTTCATGTTGTGAAGTGTTGATACTAAGTTTAGGACTTTTGTAGTGGTACAACAGGGAACTGATTACTTCATGTTGTCTTTTCAAGAGCAGGTGCAGAGGCTCCTTACGCGTGTGGCTGAACTCGAGAGAGTTCATTGAGGTTAGTAGTTTGTTTTAACTTAAAAATCTAGTTTCTTTAGTTGTCTTTGTAGTTTGTTCTAACTTAAAAATCTAAATGAAATTGTTACTTAAAAATCTAAATGAAATTCTAACTTAAAAATTAAATGAAATTCTAACTTAAAAATCTAATAGTTGCTTTAGTTGCCTTTGTAGTTTCTTATAACTTAAAAATCTAGTTCAAAAGCATCCATTAAATAGAATCTAACCACTTCTTTAGATGTAAATAGCCTTCAATAAATGGTCGGGAGCTGTTTTGATTAGACGGATTTCTACAAAAGTAAATAGAATGTGGTTATTTAATCCTCCTCGTTTCTTAATCCCCATTGTATCAACTACACAAACATAGAGCTTCCTTAGAAAATGGCTTCCTCATCTAGCTTTGTCAGTCTTTTAGCCAGCCAAGGAGCCATTGACCTTGAGTCATCGTCTCCTCTCTCCTTTAGTAGCCAGTGTCCAGAAGAGTCTACTGGCAAAGAGAGGAGGAAATGGTCACCGATGGAGGATAAAATCCTCATCGGTGCTTGGCTCAACACAAGCAAAGACGCTGTAGTGAGTAACCAACAGAAAGGCGGTTCTTCTGGAAGAGGATTGTTGAATATTACAATTCCAGTCCTCTCCTTGTTGTCACCGTGCCTAGAGAACTAGGACAATGCAAACAGAGGTGGGCTAGGGTCAATGATTTAGTGTGTAATTTTTGTGGCTGCTACGATGCTGTACTTAGGGACCCGAAAAGTGGCCAAAGTGAGAACGATGTGATGAGTGCTGCGTTGGATATATTCAACAATGACCCGGGGTTTAAGTTCAATCTGGAACACGCGTGGAGAGAACTGAGATTTGATGTGAAGTGGTGCTCCACCTAGCTCGACAAAGACATTGCCAAAGAGAAACGCAAACCAGTGGCCGAGGCAGAAGAGAGACCAGAGGGAGTTAAAGCTGCTAAGAGTGGTGGTAAGAAGAAGAAAGGTGGAAAAGAAGAAGAAATCTCCAAGATAGAAGGGCTGTTGTCCATGAAAAACCAAATCTCTAGACAAAACTTGCTTGAAAGTTTGCTTACAAAGCTCGAACCACTAGATGAGATGGAGTTAGCTCTAAAAAAGAAACTTATGGCTGAAATGATGTGATGAATGTTGGTGTGTTACTCTTAATAGCTCTCAGTGTAGTTTACTAATCGTATGAGCTCTAAGTGTAGTTTACATTGCTGCTTTGATTACTAATCTCATGTAACTCTTTATTTCAGGTCAAGATAGAAGTTGTTGAGTTGGCAGGGGATGTTGGTCACGGGATGCTTTGCTGTACTTTGTTTTGTTGGTCGCGGGATGCTTTTTTGCGTTTGCTTTGTTTTTTTCTTTGTGTTTTCACGGGTTGACAGAACCAACTCTGGGTTCTCTCTATTAGCTACTTGTTCTCTTTATATTAAGTTGTAGACTCGGCTTTGTGTTTGCTGCTGTTGTATTCAAGATCATTGTAAGATTCCAACTTCTGTTGTACTCAAACTCTATTTGGTAAGACTCTATCAATGTAAAATTTCTAGTTTAGCTTTGTTCTTCTTTTGTATTTTACATATTGAAATGAACTTGATAAGTTTTTCAAATGAACTTGATAAGTTTTTTTAAAATGAACTTGAAAAAGATTTGTAAAACTCTTCATCACCTCGTTTGATGCTTGATATGTCACCGAGAGTAATGCTTAATTAAATTGCATGATCATTACATGTTACTAAAAAGTAATACTAATATATGAGGAGTATATAAAACGCCAAAGTTTAGAACATGATCACTAAAAATGTCACAATAGAAAATCAACAAAGTACACAAATCAACGTTTCTATTCGAGTTTAGTTCCAAATATTAAAAAAAAAATATGTTTGTTTGGACAATGATTCAAATATATCGTTAAAAATTAGGGAAAATTGCCAAATATGACTCAAAACTTGATTTGAAATGCAAAAGTAAACCCAAACTTGAATCAAATGCAAAAATAACTTAAAAGGCTGTTGAAATTACAACCAACCCCTTGTGAACAAACAAAAAAAGAGTTTTTTTGACGTTTTTAGCCCTCGCAAGTCGTCTGCCCAGACGACTTTAAACTAAGTCGTCCAGACGACTTAGTTTGAAGTCGTCTGGGACAGTTTTTCTTAAAAATAATTTAAAAATTGTGTAATAAATATTTTGATAAATGAAAAATTGGAATTATGTAATTAACATTTGTCTTAAGAGATATAAATTAATATATAACAAAAGTCAGTTGTTTTCAGCATAGATGAGTGAAAGTAGTGAGTCATGATATTCTTTGGTTTAGGTTTCACCAACATATGTTGTAGTATTGTATGTGTTTCTTAGGGTTAGATTTTTGAAAGCATAAATGTTTTTTTTGAAAAATTAAAAATTTACCGAAGTGTGTTTATTTCTGGGTATAGTAAACAATATTTAAGTATAATTTGATTTTATAACGTGGTTACTTAGTTAATTTAGTCAATTTAGTTTAGGGTTTAGGGTTTAGGGTCTGGACGACTGATATTTAAGTCGTCTGGTAAATATATTTAATAATGCAGACGACTTAGTCGTCTTATAGTATCAACAGACGACTTAATT